GACAAAGGACTCATGAGAGGCAGCACGTAGGAATCCTCCCGTCAAACATTCCCTGAAAATTAACAATACTGGATTGGACTTCCCTAGCAGCCCCATGGTTAAAAATCTGCCTGCCAACACAGAGGACACAGGTTTGATCCTTGGTCTGGGACAATTCCACATGTCGCAAAGTGCTAAGCCCACGTGCCACCACTACTGAGCCTACACTCTAGAGTCCACGTGCCCCATCATGAGAAGCCACTGCAATGAGAAGCCTGCACACGGCAACTACAAAGTAGCCGCCACTCACCACAGCTAAAGAAAAAGCCCATGCAGCAACGAAGACCCAGCACAGCCAAAAATAAATAAGCAAGTAAAAATCTAAAAAACAATTGCATATTATATACTCGAAGTTGTTAAGAGTGTAGATCTTAAACATTACCACAAAAAATGGTAATTATATGAGGGGATGAAAGTGTGAACTAACCTAATTGTGGTAACCATTTTGCAATATACACATGCATCAAATCATCACACTGGACACCTTAACCTTGTATACGTTATAGGTCAATATCTCAATAAAGCTAGGGAAAAAAATCACATGTGAACTAAAATAGAGGCCCCAGCTTCCTCTTCAGACAGTCTGATTCAGTGAAAATGTTAGTCGCTCAGTTGTGTCCGACTCTTGCAACTCCATGGACTGTAGCCTGCCAGGCTTCTCTATCCGTGGGACTTCCCAGGAAAGAATACTGGAGTGGGTGGCCATTTCCTTCTCCAGGGGAATCTTCCCAACCCACGGGTCAAACCCGGGTCTCCTGCATTGCAGGCAGATTCTTTACCATCTGAGCCACCAGGGAAGCCAGTGTAAGGTTAGCGATTCTGAGTCTGAATGATCATTCCAGATGATTCTGATGCCAGGGGTTCCCAGGCCACACTGAGAAAAGCTTCGGCATCTGGCCTGGGGTGGAGTTGGGGATGGGGCGTGAGTGGGAAGTGGGGCACCAAGGTATAGGGACATGAAAGGATCCAGCAGGAGTAACCTGGCTTCTTCGCCATCCAGCCATTCTTCTCATCTCAGATTATGATAGGTAGAAAACCTTTGTAGAGAGGCGAGTTTCAGGGCTGGGGGGTTCTCTGCCCAGATCTCGGGCCCTGCTGAACACTGACTTCCATTTGGGGCCAACTGGACAGGCTGTGTATCTCCTGAACTCCCACCCATGGATGCTCTGAAGAGGGAGGCTCAGAACTATCATCAACTACAGGGCCAGATAGAGGGCTAGGAATGGTAAAAATCCATGAGCAGCGGGAGAAGTAATGGTGGTCTTGGCAATTTGACCAGGAAGGCCTCACTGAGAAGGGACTTTTGAACAGAGACTTAAACGGTTATAAGACGGGAAGTGGACAGAACAGCCACTTGGGGGGGTAGGGGGCGGGCGGGTAGTCCAGGCAGAGGAATAAGGAAGTGCAAAGACTCTAAAGAAAGAAATACTTGGCTTGAAAGCAGAAGGAACAAGTGTGAGAATTCATCAGAGTGAGGATATGTTGGTGTAGTCTACGCTTAATCATTCTTAAGACGTGGTTTGGACTTGAAGTAGAATTGGCGGCTATGGAAGGGCTTGAGCTCAAGAATAAAATAAAAATCACTGCATCTTTTGAGAAGATGCCTGTGGTTGCTGTGTTACAGACAGAGTAAGGGCCAAAGTAGAAAGCCTGGTTGAGAGAGGATTACAGGGATGCAGGTGAGAGGTGATGGTCACTGGGCCAGAATTCAGCACAGAAACTGACACAAAGAGAGCAGATCGGAACCCATGTGTCCCAGACAGGGACTTGAACCTGTGGTCTTTTAACTGAGACCACATGTCTGGCCTCTGGACTCAATGAAACTCAGGTTCTTGATGAAGAATTCAGGGAGAAACAAATGACAGGTAAGACGTGGATTTATTAGGAGAGGAGCATGCTCCACACACAGAGTGTGGGCCATCTCATAAGTTGGTGGATAATTTCATAGGCTAGTGAGTGGGAGAAATGGTCCAACTGTTTGAGGGGAAAGGGTGGGGATTTCCAGAAACTGTCCACCGCCCACTGGTCGACCTTTTATGGTCGGACTTAGCACTGTCATGGCCCCTGTGGGTTTGTCGTTTAGCTTGCTGCTCCGCTGCAAGGAGCGTATACTGAGGCTAGCGGCAGTCTCTTTCACCTCCTTGGACCTCATTGGTTCTAAATGGCCATGTCATGTCCTATAGCTATGTCATTCTTTTAACGGTTGTGCCCTGCCCCCTTCCCTCCTGTTTCAGACCCAGGTCTACTGTGAAGGCAGAACCAACAGTGACAAAGAGAGGGGTTTGATTAAGTGCCCACCCTGGCTTCTTAAATGTGACACTACTCAGAAAGAATCAGGAAATGCAACGTATACATCAGAAAGGTAATTCCAAGATGGATTGTTTGGGCAATCCTGGCAAAGGAGTGAAGTGAGCACAGGACGTTAAGGAAAAGTAGATGAAGAGGCAAGAAGGCGAGATGGAGGAACCGTGAATCCCAGCAAACAGAGGGGAGCTGGCTGAAAACTCAGCACAAACCACACACACACCTGTCCACAAATGTGATGTCTGTGCATTTGTGAGGACACGCTCGCCCTCCGTCTTCTTTACTTCGCCAGTCTTAAAATGGGCGTTGTCTGTCTCCCCCACAGTAAAGGTAAGCGTTTGGAATCAGGCACTCTGTCTTACTAACCTCTGTACCCCTAACACGGGAATCCAGACAGTATGTAAGAAAATGTAGACCCAGAGACTAGAAATTGCAGCTGGCTGCTGACCGAGTAGGTCAATGAGGGAGGACTTTGAGAAGCTCAGGTTGCCCTGGAAAAGAAAGGGAAGAGAGAATGTGTGACAGAACAGAAACCAAGAAGCGAAATGGCAGAAATATGCAAGCCCGTGACCAGGAGAGCAGAAACAAGGATGAGAGACAGAGACACAGGCGTGAGTCAGGGGGAGGAAGGAGGTGCTGAAAGGAAAGACCTACATGAAAACCTCTGAAAAGGCTTAGCTGAAAAGATGCCTAATGGAGACTTGTCAAGAAACTAACCTGTGTTGTACAATGCCCCTACCCCACCTCGCCCCCCTCTGAAATCTTCATTAAATCAGCATTGCTTACTCTTGGCCCTTCCTTGCTGATCCAGGATTGCATTTTACATACAGCACACTTAAGATAAAATGTAAGCCAGGTGTGTTATTACAGTCACAATGACTAATAAATGCATAAATACAAGACCTGTCCAGCCAGTTCTCTTTGTGCCAGGGAAAGAGCACCACTTCCCAGTATCTCTGTCCAGTCTGCTCCAAGACAGTCTAGTAAATATAGAACCAAGCACTGCCTGATTTTACTCCACAGACTTTTGGCTGATAAGGAATTAAGAAGGTAAGATTCCATGATTCAGAATTCAGCTCTGGCCCTAGTCTCCTGGAAGAGAAGAGAGCCAGTCATATGCTTGTTTTCCTAGGATTTTGCATTGGAAATTCAGTCAGAGACTTACTGGTGGAGAGATAACAGTGAGTAGAGTCACGTGTATCTACTCTCTGAGTTTGTCAAACTCTGCTTGACATCAGAAGGTCTGAAGGGACCCTACTCAACTGGAATCTTTTCTACAAGGCAAAACAATACACAGTCTGGTAAGTTCTAACTGGAGACTCAGGGGATGAACAAGAAGAGAAGAGATTCCACTCTGGCCAGAGACAGAAATGTTCAGGGTAGATTTGTGAAATGAACAGAGGTGCATTTGTTTGGGTTTTTCAGACAGTAAGGAATCCGCCTGCAATGCAAGAGATGTGGGCTCGATTGCTGGGTCGGGAAGACCCCCTGGGGGAGGGCATGGCAACCCCCATCCAGTATTCTTGCCTGGAGAATCCCATGGACAGAGGAACCTGGCAGGATACAGTCCATGGGGTCACAAAGAGTTGGACACGACTGAGTGACTCAGCACAGCACAATGTGACCCCCAGAGAAGGTACTGCTTCCTCCAAAGTTCCCATTAGTAAAAGAGAATTCCTGATAACAATCTGCAAGCATGTAAGACTCAGGGATGTATCTTTGATATATCTTTATCCAGGCCCAGGCTGAGAAAACCCTTTTTTGTTCTTGTGTCTCTCTGTTGTCCACTGAGCCCTTCCAGGGCCCACACTAGACAAAACTGAAAGTCACATCAGGGATTTTATTTGAATTGTTGAAAATTCTGTCTTTATTCAACACTCAATGAATGTTCAAAAAGTGAATTCTATATAACTGGAAAATCTTGTTCCTATTTCCCCACGAGAGAGCAATGAATTGTTCTCACTCGATGTGGTCTGAAAAATGAACTTCACATTTTTGCCTACCCAACTATTAACTATTTATTCATGTCTGCATCATTACTGGGCTTCCCTAGTGGCTGAGCAGTTAAGAATCTGCAGGAGGTTCAGCCTCTAGGTCAGGAAGACACCCTGGAGGAGGGCATGGCAACCCACTCCAGTATTCTTGCCTGAAGAATTCCATGGACAGAGGAGCCTGGTGGGCTACAAGCCATGGGGTCGCAAAGAGTCAGACACGACTGAGCACCTAATACTTTCTACTTTCACCACCTCACATACTCCCTGTTGTGCGCCTGTGACGAGAACACTTAAGATACATCCTCAGCATATTTCAAGTATACAATACAATAGTGTTAACAAATAGTCACCATTCTGTACATTAGATCTGCATGGTTTTTTTCATCTAGTATAACTGAAACTTTGAACACTTTGACCAATATCACTCCATTTCCTCCCTAACCCCCTGGACACCATCATACTCTCTGCTTCTTCCAGGAGTTTAGCTATTTAAAATTTGCATACAAATAAGATTTTGTAGTATTTGCCCTTCTGTGTCTGGTTTAAGACCTAAATTCATCTCCTATCATGTCCATTCCTTTGGGGAAAAACATCAAGGATCTATCAGAGGTTGCCCCCTTTCTCCCAAATGAACTTTGTACTCCCCTCTACGCTCCTAGCATCATGACCTCCCTGTTTGAGCATACCAACAAGAATTTGGTCAAAGAGCTTGGAGGCAAAGACTTGAGGCCCATCCAAAACCCACTGAGTGCCAACAAATTCTGTCTCCTGAATCTACTGCGGCAGAAGAGGAGGACCCTCTCTCAGTTCTGGAAACAACCTGATGTCCCAGTTGACTGCATCCTCACGGACATCCTGGAGCCAAGTCCCTCAGTCCCAGGTAGTGTCAACCAGGGGTGAAGGAGGTAAGGAGTAAAACACAAGGGGGCTCCCAGTCGAGCACCCAAGAAACCCCTAAGACATCTGCACAGGTAGATGCCAAACCAGCCTTGCCTCAAGGCACAGGGCAAGGAGCCAGGCTTCTTTGAGAATCTAACTAACTAGCTGGACCCAGACACATTTTAGCACACTGAATCCTCACAGCAGCCTCTGAATTGGGGGTTAACAGCTCCAATTGCATAAGAATAAATTGAAATTTACTTCCCTGGTGGCTCAGGCAGTAAAAGCAGCTGCCTGCAATGCAGGAGACCCGGGTTCGATCCCTGGGTGGGGAAGATCCCCTGGGGAAGGAAGTGGCAACCCACACCAGTATTCTTGCCATGGAAAATCTCATGGACAGAGGAGCCAGGTAGGCTACAGTCCATGGGGTCTCAAAGAGTCGGACACGACTGAGCAACTTCACTTTCACTTTCAAATTGAAACTGAACAAAATACCTTGTTCAGTTACACACCTGGGAACTGGTAGAACTGGAATCCAAATCAGGTCTGCCTGGCTCTAAACCCCAAACATTTTCTGCTAGGTATGCTGCCCCATGGGGCTGACGCAGTGCCTGGAGAGATGATACTCGGGCTCTCCTGGATTTGCGTGCAAGTGATATCATCCCTTCTTGGAATCAGGACATCATCCCTTGCTATCCAACCCCTAGAGAGATGTATTGCTTGTCCTCAGCAGTAGTTTACATTTAAAACTTTAAATGATCAGCTGGTTTCTCCACTGAGATTTACATGAGTAAGAGGGATGGGGTAGGGACTTCCCTGGTGGTCCCATTGGACTCTGCACTTCCACTGCAGAGAACTCGAGTTCAATCCCTGATGGGGAAAGTAAGATCCCATGAGTATATTTTAAAGAGGGTTAGGATAAAAAGAGGACTCAGTTATTCTATTTCCCACACCAGCTGTTTCAGAGTGAATTCTTGGCTAAACCTAAGGTCATTTTTTTCTATCCCCAGAGCCTGTAGTGACAGGAAAATTCCTCTTCAGTGACAAAATGGTCCAGACGGAGGCAGCTGAGGTGGATGTGACTGCTGGGTTAGAAGTGAGTACGTCAGGGAAGGCTTCCCAGTCCTATGAATGCTCCCTGGAGGTTCAGTCTGTTACCATCTCACCACGCGACTGGGAAGACCTCCAGAAGAGGTGAGGCCAGGGGAGAGGAAAAACGGGTCAGGGAGCCCCAAGGGCTCTCCTTGTGGGCAAGGAGGCATCTAGCAGAGCTTATTGCTGAGGTTCAGAATGAAGAAAATGACATCCCATATCATGCTGCTCCTCTTAGATATTCATGAATTCATTCATTCACACAACTAACAGTCATTATCTTATACACACTTATTAAAACAGTAGTTACCCATTACTGTGCTATTATGTGCTGGGCACTGAATAATAACAAGACATAAATATTTCTGCCCTATCTTGAGAAACTTGTATGTAGCTCATGAAGCAAAAGTTTAGAACCGGATATGGGACAACAGACTGGTTCCAAACAGGAAATGGAGTACATCAAGGCTGCATATTGTCACCCTGCTTATTTAACTTATATGCAGAGTACATCATGTGAAACGCTGGGCTGGATGTAGCACAAGCTGGAATCAAGATTGCCAGGAGAAATATCAATAACCTCAGATATGCAGATGACACCACTCTTAGGGCAGAAAGTGAAGAAGAACTAAAGAGCCTCTTGATGAAAGTGAAAGAGGAGAGTGAAAAAGTTGGCTTAAAGCTCAACTTTCAGAAAACTAAGATCATGGCATCCAGTCCCATCACTTCATGGCAAATAGATGGGGAAACAGTGGAAACAGTGGCTGACTTTATTTTGGGGGGCTCCAAAATCACCGCAGATGGTGATTGCAGCCATGAAATTAAAAGACGCTTGCTCCTTGGAAGGAAAGTTATGACCAACCTAGACAGAATATTAAAAAGCAGAGACATTACTTTGTCAACAAAGGTCAGTCTAGTCAAGGCTATAGTTTTTCCAGTAGTCATGTATGGATGTGAGAGTTGGACTATAAAGAAAGTTGAGCACTGAAGAATTGATGCTTTTGAACTGTGGTGTTGGAGACGACTCTTGCGAGTCCGTTGGACTACATGAAGATCCAACCAGTCCATCCTAAAGGAAATCAGTCCTGGGTGTTCATTGGAAGGACTGATGTTGAAGCTGAAACTCCAATACTTTGGCCACCTAATGCAAAGAACTGAGTCATTTGAAAAGACCTGATGTTGGAAAAGATTGAAGGCAGGAGAAGGGGATGACAGAAGATGAGATGGTTAGATGGCATCACCGACTCAATGGACATGAGTTTGGGTAAACTCCGGGAGTTGGTGATGAACAGTGAGGCCTGGCATGCTGTGGTTCATGGGGTCACAAAGAGTCAGACATGACTGAGTGACTGAACTGAACTGAACTGAAAGCCACTTTTACTTAGGGTAGACAGGCAAAGTACAGGGAGTGAGGAAATAATCAATAAAAAATAAATTAATAAAATATTAATTTAAAGGAGACAAAGACTCTGAGACTGTTTAAACTCTGCAAGTGTCCAGTGATTTAATTTACCTCCATGCATATAGGCAAAGACGGATAGCCAATGAATCTCTAAGAACTTAACAAAGAACTTAAGTCTTTACGCCTTTTAAAAACTGAGATGCCAGTTTAAATAGATTTTTATGAAGGCAACAAAGGTGGAAGCCCATGTTAAGGAAGCAACTAGAAACTCAACAGAAGTTACTTTGACAGGGCATTGCCCAATTTCTGTCTTCCTGGTGTCTTGCCAGCCCTTATTGGAAATAGCATCTGCAAAGACTGTCTTGCAGGAAAATATCTGGGTTTCTGGAGCTAAGAAAATAAAAACCATTTTTCTCCTTGATGAATACAGAGAAAATTTCTAGAATAAATTGTATCAGCTAGTTTCAAGTAAGATAAGTAAAGTCTGAGATCAAAGCTTTAAATATAAAAAGGAAGTTAGATTTTTAATAAATGGGATGTGGCGGCTATAACGTGTTTCAGCTACAAAGGTAATCACAGTTTGTGATGAGGGCTCTGAACGTAAGACAGGAAGAAGTAACAGAGAATGCCTGGAGGGAGGGTAGTCGGTTTAGGTTTCTGAGGGGCTGAGTTGAGTTCAGACCTAAAGAATAAAAGAAGCAAGCAAGAGTGGGATGAAAGGGATCCAGAGGAGGGGTTAAAGGCAATGAGGCAGGGCAGAGGTGGGTATTGTCAAGATGTTGGAGGGGGGAGGCTGCAGCTTAGCCAACCAAGATGAAGGTAATGGAAAATGAGGCTCAGGAAGTAAGTAGATATCAGATAACACAGCTCTTAGACACCAGATAAGCAGCTTGAGAGCAGAGAGAAAAAAGCTGACTTGAAATTCAACATTAAAAAAAAAAAAAGAAAAGAAAACTAAGATCATGGCATCTGATCCTATCACTTCATGGCAAAAGGAAGGGGGAAAAGTAGAAACAGTGACAGATTTTATTTTCTTTGGCTCCAAAATCACTGAGGACAGTGACTGTAGCCATGAAATTAAAAGATGACTGCTTCTTAGAAGGAAAGCTATGACAAACCTAGACAGTGTATTAGGTATAAAAAGCAGAGACATCACTTTGCCAACAAAGATTCATCTAGTCAAAGCTATGGTTTTTCCAGTAGTCACATATGGATCTAAGAGTTGGACCATAAAGAAGGTTGAGTGCCAAAGAATTGATGCTTTTGAATTGTCATGCTAGAGAAGACACATGCAAGTCTCTACAACTACAAGGAGACCAAACCAGTCAATCCTAAAGGAAATCAACCGTGAATATTCATCAGAAGGACTCTTGCTGAAGCTCCAATACTTTGACCACCTGACGTGAAGAGCCAGCTCGTTGGAAAAGACCCTGATGCTGGGAAAGATTGAAGGCAGAGGAGAAGGGGCGGCAGAGGATGAGATGGTTAGATAGCATCACCGACTCAATGGAAGAATTTGAGCAAACTCTGGGAGACAGCAGAGAACAGAAGGGCCTGGCGTGCTGCAGATCATGGGATCTCAAAGAGTCAGACATGACTTAGCAACTGAAAAATAAGTGACTTGAACTTCACTCCAAGGGCAATGGGAAAGCTCAGCCCTGGATCCTCAGTGACCCCCTCCACTGAAAAGCAATCTAAGAGTTTCTCAGGCTTTCACACAGTTGTTATCCAGGGCACCAATCCCAGCAGGGACCTTGAGTGGAATCAGAGATGAGTCTCAGAAATGAAATGGAGATGAAACTTGTCTTCAGGACTTAACACCACTCACATCTCCCACCCAAATTTACATCTTCAAGCCAGTCCTACCCACCTACCAAGGATGTTCAATCCATAAACACCCACCTATACTAGTCAAGAAAAAAAAAGCATCCAAAATCCTCCCAGTGTCATCATACTTTATCTGTATGCTCCACATCCACCCTGATTATGTCTCTGGACAAGGATGGGTGTGGAGGTCCCCAGGTTTGACAGCAGGATCTCCTAAGGACTGTTTTCTACCATCTAGACTTGTCTACTTCTGGATCTTCTGGTCAGAGGCCCTAGAGCTGGAGATCTATAAACTGCCCTCTAAAAGAACTAACATAATTTTGGAAAAGCCTTAAGAAGATGGCTTGCATACTCTCACACCCATCCCTCCATAAGTGAAGGGGGCCTCTCCATCATGCATACTAGAGACATCCTTCTTAGCCTATAAGCCAGTACCTTACCACCATTTAGGGCTCCACACAGACTCTGCACCCTTCAGGTCCTAAGAGGAGTAACCTGAGAAGCCATCTCTTTTGCGCTCTGACCCTCCTCCTCCTTTATGCCCCCTAGGAAAGTGTTGGATCAAGAGCCGCCATTTCTGAAGGCGTGCCGGACCAGAAGGGACAACCTGTATGTGGTGACAGAGGTTGTGCAACTGATCAACACAACTGTCTTGCAGGACAGCAGCAGTGTGAATGGCAAGGGCAAATTATCTATCTCTTGGAGTTTTTATGTCAAGGTATTGTGTTGTCCTGAAGCAGGACAGCCAGCCCAGCGTCCCTTTCCAGGGACTCTGGACCCTCTTAGGACCTGGTTTCAGGGGGTGGGGTGAGTGGGGTCATTACTCCCCACTTCTCATGTGCTGAGGAAGCCTGACCCCTGACCTGAGAGTCTGTCTAACATCCTCTCTTTAGTATTTCAGTACATGGGATTATTCCATACTGATAAAATGGGCAATAGATTTAATTATTTGAGATTATATTTTGCTTTGGGCAAATGATAGATCCTTGGAATTACTAAAGTGTAGTTGCTGAACTACATTCTTGTGTGGTTTGCTAGAGGAAACAAAGAATTGTTGTTTAGTTGCTAACTCATGTCCAGCTCTGAGACCCATGGACTGTAGCCCGCCAGGCTCCTCTGTGAGTGGGTCACCATTTCCTTCTCCAGGGTATCTTCCCAATCCAGTCAGGGATCGAATTTGTGTTTCTTGCATTGCAGGTGGGTTATTTATCACTGAGCCACCTGAGAAGCCCAAGGAATCATTAACACAAAACAAAACTTTGGCAGCTAAAACACCCTAAATACTGTGATACCTGAAGCAGAAAGTTTATAGATTCAGATTTAAATACATTCAAGCACATATGATGTATACAACTCACTCACGATGGCCAATTATAATCTTTTAAATTGATTTAAATATATTAAAGTATACGCAATATCGGCTAGGATTTACGGAGATAAAGAAATTTTGTGTGTGTTATGTTTTCTATGAAACATACTTTGTGTAAGTTGTCCTCATTTAAGAGATTTAGGAACTAAAAAGGGGGGGAAAAATAGCCTGAAATATGAACTTTCCCCAAATCGGTTAACTTTTCCGGGGGAGGCCAGATTCCACCTGCATGACTTGATTCCAAAGAAACCTGAAATAAATAAAACATGACTCCACCCTGAAGGACATTTTGATGTTCAGCTCTGGGTTTCCATCTGCTTGGGCTGGGCAACTGGACTTCACAAGAACAGGAGGAGAAAACCCAGTATCCTTTCACGTAGGACGACTGCTCGCAGCGTCCAGCAAGGCTCTGATATCAGCTCCTGGGCTGAGGTGTTGTTAAAACAGCTTGCTTCTCACCCTGGTTCATGGCCGCCTCGGTTCTGCCTGGTACCCCTGTGTTTCAATACGTCAGAGCTCCCCGTGGCACTGGTCTACACTGGACTCTCTCAGGAACGCAAGGGTAGGAGGCATCCTGGGGGGGTCAAAGAACAGAGCTGATTCTGGAGAGCCAGTGACTCATGAGGTTGTCTGCGGACACTGTGTGTGTTTCTGGGGAACAGTTCCCTGATCCAAAATAATTAAAATAATAGCATCTACAAAGAGCTTATGATGACACATTTTTTTTTTTTTACTGGCGTGTAATTGCTTTACAATGCTGTTAGTTTCTGCTGTACAATGAAGTGGAGCGCCCATAGGTACACATATATCCCCTGCCTCATGAGCCTCCCTCCCAGCCCCCCACCATCCCACTCATCTAGATCATATGATGATATATGTTAATCGTCGTTCGGGTCTCCTAGAATACAGGAATAACTCCATGTGACGGTTAGTTTTATGTGTTAGCTTGACTGGTCCACAGGGCACCCATATATGTGCAATAAAAGCATGACATTGAGAGACGTGAAGGTAAATACTGGACCAAAGAAGAAAAAAAAAAAAATGGGTAACTGGAAATCAGGACCAGGATGGGGAGTGGGAGGGCAGGAGGCTGCTGGGTCCTGGCTCGTGAGCTTCTAGAAGCTCATGCACACATGACCGTGTTGCCTGGCTTCTCCCCCTAGAGCACAGGAGACGGACTGGGTCTGAAAGTGAGACAGAGGATGCTGACTCTGCCCCAGGGCACCGTGATGGCCTATAAGAGGAAGCAGCTGGTGTTCCAGGAGAATGGTCGAGGTGAGCAGAGCCTGAAAGGGGTAAGGGGAGTGGGAGACCACCCAGAGGCCACCCTGGCTTCCCTCCCTGCTGGGGGAGGGGAGGAGCATGATTTCTCAGCCTCCCACAGCCACCTCCAAGCCCACAAGACGGAACCATGGCCACACGGAGACCCAGACGCATTGTCCCACGTGGAGACGGACACAAGGGGGGGCCGACCCTGAAATCAGGAACAAGACAAGGGTGCCCACTCTCACCTACTATTCAACATAGTTTTGGAAGTTTTGGCCACAGCAATCAGGGCAGAAAAAGAAGTAAAAGGAATCCAGATAGGAAAAGAAGAAGTGAAACTCTCTCTGTTTGCAGATGACATGATCCTCTACATAGAAAACCCTAAAGACTCTACCAGAAAATTACTAGAGCTAATCAATGAATACAGTAAAGTTGCAGGATATAAAATTAACACACAGAAA